CTATATATTGCCGAAAAATTACAATTTTTTTCGCTGCAGTTATTATCTCTGTTGATAATCGAACTTTGACGATAATACTGAAATCACAATTTTAAAGGAAAAATCGAGTATTATTGAGTTTTAAATGCACGTACACCAATAAACACGTCTACTAAACTAATAAATCATAAAATTAGTACAATATTATCAGTTTTTTTACTCTTAATCACTTCAATATTAACAAGGACGCGAACTCCCATAAGGATGTCGGTCTTTAATAATATCTCGTCGGTGATACTGTTCAAGAGCAAGAATGAGATAGAGTGAGATAGAATGTATAGGATAAAATGAAATAGAAATATGTCACTAGTACTATAAATGGCTGCCAAGTCATGTAATTGCAACAGCGAATCAGAATGCGTAACACCGGTTCCGCCTCTTTGATAAATTTAGGACTCTAGCTCCAACGTATTTCAATATGCTCCTACCATAGCTCTTACTCATTCCAACGCGCTTGATAGAGTGAGTAGAAGTTATGGTAGAGCATGTTGGAGGATGTTGGAGCTTGCGACGCGAACAAACCTTACGTATTGAAATTTAGGGAGTTAGCAGTCTAGTGTAATATTTAGATAGTAGCGTGTGGTATTTATATAGATGTTTGTAGACTGTGGTTTCGACAGTAGTTAGTATTAGTATCGAAATAGTAGCCGATTTGAGAAAAGACAATTTATATAATAATTTGTTGCAATTATTGAAAAAACACGAGAACACGACGCAGAAAGATGGCGGAACAGAGTGATAGGAGTCAATTACCTCCTGGCTGGGAATGTAGATATGATATTCGCAGCGGTCGCCCGTACGTAAAGTTGCACTTCCGAAGTTATCTTTTTATTTTTTTCATTAAAGATAAACAGCTTACTAATAGAGTTCCAAAAATCGAAATTTTCCTGTATCAATAAATTCATATTGTGCAAAACAGTTGCACGTACTTAGTTTTCGATAATTCTTTACGATTCTTGAAATAAATATACAATCAAATTGTTAAAAATTAATGAATAAGATAGCGAAAATAGATAATATTCTACATGCATTAGTTGAGACGCTTTGTACTTAATAAAATTTTGATTAGACATTTATGATTACGATATTGAGAGTTCTATAAAAATATTTATAGAAAATCGATTTATGTAATATTTTTCTGAAACAATGGATTAGATACTTATAACTGTTAATGGTGATCTTCAGATATTTCATAAATCATTTCAATCGAACTACAACATGGGAAGATCCAAGAGTGAGATATTGGCAGTATTCTCAGTATATACAGTCTCAGAATTCAATGGCACTGAGTTCGGCTACTACTACCACTTCTCAAGATATTCCTATGCAGGTCAGTTGTAATAGTTAAATTTATATATGCATATGCAACTGTAAGTTGTAAAAGTTTACATGTTTTTGAATCAAATGTTAAATTCTTAAAAAGTGATATGTTATACTTACTTTAAGTTACATAGTTTTTTTACAGGGTTGGTAAAGATTAATGTTTTTTTTTTAAGAATAAAATATACTGTGTTTCTTCTTAAATATGTTTTTAATACTTCAAATATGCTTTAAACAATACTATAAAAAAACATATTTAAAACATATTAAAAACATCAATTTAGCATGTTTTAAACTGTTTAAAACACGTTTAAAACATGTTCTTTACCAACCCTTTTTTAAGCTAAAAAAAAAAAAAGATTTTATAATGATTTTTAAAATATTTTTTTCATCATTTATTGAATAATAAATTAATTTTAATTATTATTTATTTTATTTATTTTAATTAAATATCAAAGTGTAAGAATTGGTTCTGAGAATCAATCTAATAATAAAATAATTAAAATGCCATAAAAGAGAGTCTACTATTCTATTTCAGTTGTCATCCATGAGTCTCAAAGTTCTCCTCTATGTTTTGAATTTACACTGTGCTGGATATTTACAATGGTTACTCTGTCAAATAACCACTGTTTATAATCATCTTTTAATCAAATTCATTTTCATATTTGTACTATCTTGATGACATGAAGAATATATTACATTATTAGATAGACTTAGATAAATTTTTGTAACGAGATGATTGTTATAATTTGTGACTAGATTGTGTTAAAAAGCATTTTTATTCTGTAAGTTCTTCATTTATTACAAATTTTATAAATACAGCACTGAGGAGGATCAAAATTCTGGCCCAAACATTTACTTTTTAACTTGTGTTTTAATTGTTAATCATGTTGTTTTAGTAAACTGACATTGCACACCAATAACCACGTAGGCTTTTTTATGACATTTTAATTATTTCATTAAATTTATTTCATTTTATTTTTTGTCTTTTTGTACTGACAATTAGATATTTATATATTGTCAGATTTTTTTCAAAAAACATCCAGTATAAACTATGGATTTATGAAGTGTTTGGTCCCCTTGGAATTAATTATAATAAATTTATTTAATTTTCTGCTCTTATTTAATGTCTAATCATAAATGTGATTTGTTTGAAATTTCAAAATTTTGTAGTGTCATTTCTGGAAGTAAAGTACATTGTACAAGTATACTTGTACAAAAAAGTATACTTATATATATATATACATATATATATCTTTGTTAGAAACAAAATTTAACAAGTCTAAGCTTCTTAAGTTATTTAAAAAAAATTTCCCTTTAAAATATCTAAATATGTAGATATTATATTTATACATTGAAAATAATCATATAAGATTTCCAATCTATTTCCTATTCTTTTATTATTATTAACCACTTTTGTACTTCTTAAGATAAAAATTTACAGAATCTATTTTATATTTAATTTCTTCCAATTCTCTATTAGGATAGGATAGGGCTATTTCATCAATTTCAACTTTAAAATGATATGAAAATTTCCAGAAAATTTTTAATAATATACCCAATACCCAATACCATTTCAAACATAACTGACCTATTATTGAACATAATGTAGTTTTTTATATATACTTAAAAATAACACACAACAGAGGAGAAAACATAAATATCTAACAATAATAAATGATTTATTAAGACCGTATATGTGAATACACAATAATTAAGAATTTAAAGCCTATAAGGTCGAAGCTCAATCTTAGATGCTTAAATAATTTCCATGTGAATTTATGTATCACATATGTAGTCATTTGAACTGCGCGTCGAATTGGTTTTTCGGACTTATAAACGTAATTAAACTACTGTAGTAATATCACAAATTAAATTAACGAGTAATTTAATAATTTAATGTTCAATCAGGCATCCTATTAGAAAGATGTTAATGTGCTGAAAATTAGTAAATAAATTTATTGCGAAAAATATTTCCTCGGCCGGGAGTCGAACTCGGATCTCTAGCATTGCGAAATGCTCGAAGACTGTCGAAGATTTTCATTTAAAAATATTTTGAAAAATGTTTTAATGTGAAAAGTGTACTTAAAATTGCATTATAGAAAAAGATAATAGTATGGCACGCTAATTAAGGGAATGATTACAAAAAATTTGCGGCAGTTAAAATAATAATGGGTTTGCTTCTTTCTGTTATACAATTTCAATGATTTCCTTTTATTACTTTACCTTATAATTTGTAATTTTATTTTATTTGAACTCGCTTCTATTTTCTTTGGATACATTATTAATAAAAATTCCACCGTCTTGATTATTAATAAGGAAAAAAGTATAATATTAAAGGTCAAGGTTCATATCAAGATTTATACCGTACTAAAGAATGTCAAGGTTGATACCTTGTTATGCTAAAAGAATGTTTATGTTGATAATTAATCATTTAACATCATTTGAATATTCATACATATCATTATATCATTGAATGTTTTTATGGTATTTATGTATGATGTTTGATTGTTTGAATATTGTATACATTGTCAGATTCTTTTAATTTTCTTCTAATATACGTATATGCAACTCTCTAACACTTATATATTATAACACACGATATTTAAATAAAATAAATTACAATGTGAACATTTTTTTAAGCATTAAATATTTTCTTTAAAAGTGTTTTGAGTGTTTCCTGGCACATTATGGCCAAGTTCGTCTTGCTCGCTTTTACACTAAAAACGCAAATGTCAGTATCATTGCTTAACTCAGTTTTTGAAGCACTTCCGTAAATCAATGACATAATTTGCTACTAAATATATCATTATTTTTCGTTTATATTTACTTTCTTAAGAGATTAGACCACTTTAACAATCTAAAATTCATAGGTAACTTTGGGAATCAATCAGCAAAACGTGCTCCAGTGTTGCCATTTTGTTAAAGAAAAAATTAATACGATTTTATTCTTAAAGAATTGTATTATAAGAATCTTAAAACAAACTTTTTATCACTTCCATTGTTTTATTAAAAAAAAATTCACAAAGTTATCTATAATTTTTAAGATGTCAAGGTAACTTAATCTCTTAAAAGAAATAGTAACAGAAATGTGGTGTGCGCTTTGAGCTAAGGCAAATACAAATTACTCTAATTCAGATACTAATAAATGGAAGACGAAAAAATAAAATAAAATAAAAAACAATTAGATGCAGCTGAGTCTTGAGAACACATCGTAGTTGACATTAGCGTATTATATTTTATGTATGTGAATAGCATAATTGATGATAACATGATGTTTCTGAGTGTCAATACTGAAATAAGACGAACTTAGTCTACATGTGACAACGTTTTGTAATTAGTATATTTATTAAAGGTACATACTTATATAAAAGAAGAGTTCACATGTAAATAATTATGTAAATAATTTTTCCGAAAGAACAGATTGAATGTAAATACAGATGGAATGTATATATTTTTTATATTGAGATATTTAATTACTTCATTAAAGGTAATTAAATATTACACATATGAATCACATTACATATTAATTAGATGTTTATTTAATGCTTTTACAATTTAATTTTGATGACATTTTATGCAAATTGAAATACTGTTTGTAAGCATTGAATAAAGTAACATCTCTCTTGCATTATATTCGACATGAAGAAGTTTTTGACTTTAAAATAAATTACTTACAAAATATGTACATCTGTCACGATTATATGTAACGTATTTATTTTTAATAGTTTAATGTAATCATAAAACAAAAATTATATTATAAAGAAATATTTTTATTTATTAAAACAAATGTTCTTTCATTAGATCGCTCGAATAATGAAGATAATTTTGAAATAAGAAAGTTTCTAAATATTTTTGTTATTTTATTAAATTGGAATGAATTAAACATATCGGTATTAACAATCCAAAAATATGACATTATTTAACAATTAAAATATTTTATGCAAAACGTCATCGTACTTGAGATTATATTCATGTGTTTATGTTATTTATGTACAATTTATGTGTACAAGGAGAGATATTCTAATTTCTATTTGAAACATATATCATATGCTACGTGTGCGCGTTCGCATGCGTGTGCGTGTATGTGTATAAACTGTATATGTATATATTCTTGTGATATGCACACGCTGCATTTGGATAACGCACACGATACTACAAATAAATAGACTGGAGGAAGCGGAAGTGGTGGGCATTTAAATTATACAGGTGCTCACAGAGTTCCACAAATTTATCCAACACCGTCCCCTTATCATAATCCACAACTAGCATTCTTACCTCCCAGTGCACAGGTAAGTAAACATTTATATTGAAAGTCATCCTCATGAATCATGCCTGCTTTTCATCAAGTTAGTTACTACAATATGCCAGTATACGTACACATATGTACATACATACATATACACTCGCATACACAAAATGTTTTTGTAATTGTTATATAGATAGACACGCGTGTATGTGCAGGAGCTGAAAACGCCAATGTCGTTGAAATCCACCAGTGTGATGACAACTCGATTAGGTGACTTGACTTTAGGATCTCCGACTCCAGTGAGAAATACAGAGACAAGTTTTACTCAAAATTCCGACTCTGAGTCACAAGTGGCGAAGATCAACGCTGTATTTCCGACAGTTTCGGATACACATATTCGTCTTTTATTAAAGAAGTAAGTGTTTTTAGCATGCAAATTATCTATTACCAAAATTTTTCATCTGAAGTTTAGTACTCACACTTTTTAACATTTTTATACAAACAATATTAATATTAACATGGACAATAAGACTATCACACGTACAAAAAAAAGTTGATTTTTTAAGTTTCTTTGATTAAATTTATCTGAGCTCCCCTGTTTATTTTCATAAATTAGCACTGTATCAGGTCTGGTGCTAAGTCGACAGCCAATATCTTTCAGATACCATAACAGGGCAGCTTTGGTCATGAGTGCTCTCCAAGTGGAAAAGAATCCTCTTTGTGCCCCAGGACCCTGTACACCTGTGGGAGTACATTCAAATTATGCAATTCCAAGATGGCGTCTACCGGCTCATTCTATACACGCAGCATTAACATTGAGTCCGCCTCGCGGAGTTCGACCAGCCCCTAACTCCCCAAAAATGAAACTTAGGTTTAACCCAAATATTCATAGTTTCAGTCTTTTTCACCCAGTCTGGATGCTAGATGTTGATATCGTATCTTGTGATAATTCCATGGAAGTATACCAGTCAAAGAGCACTGCCTTTTCTTTTGCATTGTTATAATTGTCTGGTATATTTCACGCATATACACGATATTATGTAACGGTAGCATGTATGGAGTCATAGGTTTCCTTCAACTGTATTTAGATATTAAGTACTAGAGATGCAATTATTTACATATTGATTCGCCGATTCTTCAAAATAATTTATCGTGCACGGTAGCAAATACATAATGTAGTTTAATGGATTTTTATTATTAATCTTGTTTATTTTATTATATTTTATCGCTTTTAAGAAATTTAAAAAATATTCTGTCACTGATCAGTAATATCTAATTTTATGACATCTGTTATTTTCTTTTATCTTTCAGTTTCTTCCTGGTTTGTAATAACATAAATGTTGGATAATATAAAATTTACGCTATCTAGAATAGGTTGGTTTTTGTTCCATATTATTCATGTTTTATTTTTGTCATTTAGTAGCACAAATTAAAGCTTTGTATTGTTAATTAGATGTCATTGTTATGTTATTTGTATCATTAAAAGGGAATAAAAGAGTTTTTATATTTTTGTATAAAATATATATGTCACAGTCAAAGTATTAACTTTAGTAAATGTATACATTTAGTGAGTTACACTTTGACTGTGTGACATATATATATATATATACAAAATTCTTATATGTGTGTATGTGTAGATAAATACATTATCAATTACCAATTTTTCCTTAAATACGACATGTAAACACTGATTCACAGAGATATATATATATATATATAATATGTGTGTGCGTGCGTGCGTGCGTGCGTGTGTGTGTATATATATTATACACAGGGTATCTCATTTAAAGCTTTAGACGCAATGATCTCCCAAATTCGTTCATTACTCTAGAAAACGTTTCAAGTAAAAGAAGTTACTTTGTTTCGAAGGGGACATCTCTTGAGAGTCACAAGTTCTCTTTAGGTAGACGTGCTTGCAAGATTTCAAAGTGTGTGTGACCTACCTTTATTTCTTTTAATGGAATTATATCGTTTTTTTATATAATATGATTTCTCTAATTATTCTGCATATAAAAGTATTAAGATAGAGATGCCAAAAAATCAATAGTTTACAAGATATTTTATACTTTCTGGTACATATTGACGAAATATTAAATATTTCGTGTACTATTAATTTTTTGATAATCGTACCTTAATACTATAATGAACAGAATAATGAGATGAATCAATATAAAGAAAATACATAATTGCTTTAAAAAAATATGTTAAATAATTTTTTAAATAAGCAACTATTTGTTTTCAAGACGCTATAATAATGTTATTTTTATTAAGTATTTTCAAATTATGGCTTCAAAGTTACAGTACCGTCGGCATTTGCATTATTCAAGGTGTCCAAATGACGGCTAAAACCTTTTGAATCTTGTTCAGAATCGTTACCTTGACATCTTATGTCAAAGTCAAGGCTATTGGAAGTTGTTCCTCTTATTTTTATTGACATATATATATATATATACACACGCACACACGCACATACACACGCACACACACATATATATACATATATCTATATATAATGAAAAGAAAACTCGTTTATCCCAAAATAAGATAAAATTTAAGCATGATAGTATGTGCATGTGCATTCTATTCTAAAAATATTTAGATAAATATAATATAGGTATGTAGAGTAGTTTATATTGTTTGTTATAAAAAGCAAAGAAAATTTTATGAATATTTTTAGATATCAATCACATGTGCATATTTTAAAAAAAGTTAATTATTAATTTTTTTACATATTAATTTACTAAGTTATAATGTACAACATCGACAGCATTAATGTAGTCCGATTCACAAAAGGACATTTAAATGTGTGCGATTTATTTATAGTTTTTAAATAATTATAGATAGTTCTTTTTATTTTAGGAACTGAAATAATTAATACAAATCAGAGATTACCAAAGATCGCGAGTCAATTTTTGGCGTGTCATGAAAAATGGTAGAATGTTAAATTAACTTTGTTATTTCGCGTTAATTGGCACTTGGGCGTGTGTGCATTTTTTCACGACTTCGTACATATAAAATAAAATAGAAATTGTAAAATAAAAAACGTAAAGTTGGTTTTTTAACGATGGTAAAAATCAAAATCAAATTCCCAAATAAACTACAATTATCAAACCCTTTATATCTAAAGATAATTTATATCGATGTCGACATCAAACATGTCAGAAACGGGAATGGAAGTAACTAGTTATTTTTAAAAAATAACTTTTCATTCCCTTCGATGCGTGTTCCGATTCCCAGTTGGGTGTTCTTTGGGTGTCATGTCATCCTTGTTTAACGTTTGGTAAACAACGGGGAGCACCCAGGTGGGAACTCAAACATGCACCTGAACAGAAATAGAAAACGTGGCATTCTTCATATACAGGATGTTTGCTAAGTAACGATAAATCTTTCGCACAGAATGGACTAAACTGAAAAGAAAAGTCTTCTACCATTTTGCAATTTTCGCAATAGTTAACAACATATTAATTGCTAAAAATTGCCGAAAATTAGTCTTCAATAATTTTTTACTCAAATACTATCAACTTTACAAAAAAACTGTAAGAGACAAAAATTGTTTATTTTCTTCTCATAAAGTTCTGAGAATTTTTTAGAATTTTTTCAGAATTTTTTAATACCGTATTTTCTCATGTTGGTAAAAATAAGAAAATGCAGTACTAAAAAGTTGATAAAAAATTCTAAAAAAATTCTTAGAGCTCTACGAGAAGAAAATAAACAATTTTTGTCTGTTGTAGTTTTTCTATAAAGTTGATAATATTTGAGTAAAAAAATTATTGTAGACCAATTTTCGACAATTTTTAGTAATTAATATTATGTTAACTATTACGAAAATTGTAAAATGGTAGAGGACTTTTCTTCTCAGTTTAGTTCATTCTGTTCCTGTTCGAAAGATTTATCGTTACTTATCAAACACCCTGTATATTTCATTATATATCTGAAATAAATTTATAAAATTGTATTTAATAAAAAATAAAAAAATAAGAGGAATGTAGGTATAAATAAAATGATATAAATAATTAATTTATTCATTCTCCGCTTTTTCATATTTACTAAAAAAGATAAGCCGCGAATGTTTGTTGTTTTAAAAAGTGAGTCGTGATACAAATTTGGGAAGCTCTGATCTATTACTAATAATGTAGGCAACTAGATACATTTCTTAAATATTGTAGAGAAGTTGTTCATTGAATGTGCGCACGCCGAACGGCATACATTAATGCTACGTACATTAGTTAAAAGTAAGATTACATTAGATTATTGTTGTTTTAGTAATGAGTTATAATTTACATATACTATTATAATCATATAATCTTAAAATATATACTAAATCCATATGATAGTAATGCATTATGTTTGTATGTTGTGCACGTAGCAGTAATATAGCAGTCATATTAAAGATTTATATGTTTGGAATGTATGTACAGGTACCTGAAAAATGTATTTCCAAAAGTGGACGAAACAATATTATTGGATGTGCTGGAACAGAGTGATAATAATGTACAGAAGGCATCTGAAAAATTAATTGAATTAGGATATGAAAAACGAAATCCTACCCTTCCTGCCAGAGCTTTAATAAAAAAGAAAGAAGAGGAAGAGGTAATGAATTTTTTATTGTACACTATGTAACGCGTACATTGTTACATGTAAACAAAATTATCTTTATAGGTACACGACGAGCAAACTGCACCTACTCCTCCTCCACGCATAAAAAGTTTGGAAGAAAAGAATAAGTGTATGTAAAAATTTTTGTTAAAATTTTAATTTTCTTTTTATATCTAATGATATCACTACAGAAAGAAAATATTGCAGTGAAAACACGTTTAATGCAAAAATATAAGAATTTACCAGATCGAATTGTGATGCTTGCTATGGATAGTGTAGATTATGACGAAGAAAGAGCAATACATATATTAGATATAGTAATGGCAGAAGAAGCTACTCGACCATTATGCACTTCCAGCAGCCAAAGGTAACGTTTCATTTTTTAGCAATACATAAAAAATCGTGAATATATTTATATTAATGTCCTCTTATAAGTTGTGTGAAATATTGTAGTAGTAGAAGCGACGAACGGAAAGATAGTCCACCAGTGACAGAAGCTATAAAATTAACTGCTTCTCCGATTAAAAAGATGAGTACAGATGTAGAGACTGAAAAGTTAAAACGATCCAAAAATAAGACTGAGATACCGAAGTAAGACATTTATTTAAGGTCACATGTTTTAAGATATATAAGATATCAGGGTTGTACAAGTTACATAAAAAAGTAATGAAGCTTCTTTCTTTAGTAACGTAATTACTTTTCCGAATGAGTAACAGTAACAGTAACTAACCTCGGGATCAGTGCCATGATTGGAACATCTTTTTTGATTGTGTTAGTGAATACGTGAATTGGTGTGAACTTACTCTTGTTAGTGAGTAACGAAAAGGAAAAGTGAATAACTGAGTCGTGAAACGTGAGTCGTAGTCGTTAGTCATAGGTCAATATACAAGTTTTGATCAACCTACAACTACGACTTATGTTCCACGACTTAGTTACAGTCATCTTTGTGCTTAAATCATGCAATCCGATCGGCAAAATTGGCATGATACTTTATCGATATTTTTCCGATATCCGATGTTTTTTTATGGATACTTTCGTCTCGATCATATCGACATATCAATACTTTTGGAAAAATTAAAATATTTGTGGAATATATATGCAACAACTCGAAATATATAACGATATATAAATGGAATTTTTTAAACCGATATTTGAATGTTACTTTTACATTCCGTAAATATTTCGGGATATTTCGGAATACCCTTAGAATATTTTGGGGTGATTTTAGGAAGCTTTTAGGAACCTTTCATTTTAGGAATATTTAGCGTTAGCTGAGTAACGGATTATTATTATTTTTTAGTAATGGCAACAGTACCCAGATAACATGCATGTTGCATAAGATATCTAAAAGACGTCTTTTAGATACAAGATATCTAAAAGATGTCTTTAAGGGGTAACACCTATGTAATCGACTGTAAATAAGATCTACGTTTGTGATTTTTTTTTTATTTAATGAATCATGCTATTAAAAAAAGAGTTTATAACTTTATTAAGCACATAAAAAAGTACAAAAAATAATTTTTTAAGAATTTTATTTATCAAAATGGCGGATCTGCAGCAGCGTGATGGAGACAGTCGAAATAGCATAGTGTTCCGTGGCTAGTAGCACAAGTGTCGTAATTTTTGGTTTAGAACACACAAAAAAACAAATATTTTTATTTTATTTACTCAAATATCTATAGAAATATGTAGGTGTTTTTGAAAATATTGATTTTTGACAAAATGGCGGAAATACAAACAAAAAGTTCCATTTTCGTCAAGAAATAGTCGAATAAAATCAGCTGTAACTTAAAAAATTTGTAACTTATCAAAAACATTCGACGCATTTCTTTAAAAAATGTGATTTGTTAAATATACTGTTAAAATTTGAAGTAAATAGATTAAAAATTATTTGAGTTCTACTGTTAAAATCAACTTAAAAAATACTGTTTTGAGAAAAACGCGTTTAAAGTTTTGAATGTCAATACTTTTAAGTTAACAATTGAATTTTTAGGAGCCTATAACTTTCGAAAAAAATTATGTATCGCAATAAAACCACTTGCACTTCATTTTTGAGACCCTAAAATGTATTTTAAAAGGAAAAAAAAATCGATTTTTTGAAAATTTTACATAGGTGTTATCCCTTAAATATCTTATGCAACGTAAATGTTATCTGGGTAACATTACTTTCTCAATAAAATAATCGTAACATCGTTTGAAATCGTAATTTTTGAAAGGAAGTAATGGTAACAGTAATGCGTTACATTTAAAGAGTAACTCGTATAATCTTATAAGATATATGTCTTGGTAACACATATCTACTGTGAACTTGTTTATGTTTTTAGATATCAAAATAATATTTTATTAACACTTTGACTACTGGACCTAATTTGTTTGTTTCTCCGGCGACGTTGAAATGAAATTTTCATTATTAGATTCACACATCGATACGATATTATATAATTGTTTTATGCAAAATTATCATGTACACATAGTACATTTACTATTTTAGACTATTACTTCAATATTATTTATATTTACAGAACAAATATTATTTTTTATGAGTTTGATGAAGTTTTTTAATTTGGCAACTACGGTCAGCTCTGGTCAGTGTCAGTCATCGATGACGCAACGCGACGCTATTGAAAGTTTAAATGCTTGTCATTGGTGGCCGACACAACAGTCAACGTGTTAATAATATTTCATTGATAACATTCTCTATATAATAAAATATGTTGCATTAGAGTTTCACGTGGAACCAGTACTACAGAAGATAAAGAATATAAATCTCCATATTTAACAAAACCAATAGGATCAAACTCGGATTTAGCAAAAGGAGCGAATAATGATCTGCTGTTGTACGTTGAAAAAATATAATTATTTGATTACTTTTTTGCTGTAATATTTTTATAAACATTAAGTAAACAATTATAGGCCGGATTATGCGCCATGGTCAGGGCCGGATCCAAATTTGCTGACTAAGCAACCATTTTCAAGATCACTCGCAATGGGACATGATGCAAATTTAGTCTCTATTAATAATTGTCTTGCTAAAGGTTCCCAATCCGAATTACGAAAAGGACCGTTAAGAGGATTGGCCCAAGGCTCCATTTATTCGCAGAGAAATGTAGCCAATACAGAGAGTCGTGGTAAATGAAATATGTGCAATTGTTTTTTTCTTGATATTTTTGCATTTATTAAATAATTAGATATTAAATTCTAATTTTTAGACAATTGTTTAACTATCCATCCTTGGGATGCTATAATTTAATTTTTAATATTTATTATTTAATATTAATATTATTGATTCATATATTATTAAAAATATTATATATGATTTAATAAAAATTAATGTTTTGTTAATAAATCATATATGTACATTTGTTGTTTAGTAAGACTAAACGACAAATACATTGTTTATTATTTCAGATTATGTTATTTATTGTTAAGCTGTAATAAATCAGTTTACTTCTCTGGGAAGCTTAATTTATGTTTATCGTATGCCGTTCGTATATAGAAAGTGATGTAGGCAAAAAGCTTTATCAATCATAATCTATTTTGATAAAATGTAAACACGTAAAGTGCAATGCATTTTAATTTTGCTAAAAATTTTGAAACTTAGCTTGTCTCATCATTAAAGTACACAATTTATATATAAATACAATCGGTCCGTGCAGTAGATTTATGTCAGATGAAAGTAAATAAGACTCATGAATTTAAAAAAAATGGGACAGTTTATACAAATAAATACAAATATACGGTAAATATATAAGTAAAAGTGGACATATTTTAATCATAGCTCATAATATGGTGATGACAATGAATTAGCGAAAAGGCGCGTCGAGTCATTTTCGCCATTTTGTTTGTTCACTATACTAAGATATGGAATTGTTTGATGTTTTTCGCATTTTAAATACAATAATTAATTACATATTTACACTAGTTTTTTAATTATATTGTCGAAATTCTTTAACACACAGAATACATTTCTACATTCAAAAAATCATGTACAATATTACACGAAATAAGTGGTATACATTTATTATAATAACTAATTTGTGACGTTACGCGAACAAAAAGCAAATCATCGAAAAAAAAAAGAAAAGCTAAAGTAGAGAAAGAAAAAACTAAAGATTGTTCGCATAGTTATTTGAAAAATAACCCAATCCTGATGTATAATCTACTTGGTTATCTTTTTGTAAAAATTTATTTTCCATGCTTTTATAGCAGAATTGATAGCATTAATTTTCTATCTGATCTTTCATATTGTTAATATATTGCGGATCTCTTTATAAAGTGTTTTATTTTTCAAGTGTTACTATTTTTGAATTATCGATTTTTATTTGGATTAATTTTTCTTGTATAAAAATGTTGAGGCATTTATATATTTTCCGAATGATAGATGATCGAATATGAAGAGCTTTCCAATATCTAAGTGAGGCAAATATATTTTAAGTAAATCTTTCATAATAATTAATGTATATTATAATATATAAGATATGTGTATGATAAGCTTGAAATTGCTGAGAAGAGCCCTATGGAGCATTTTTACAATTTGTATCTCATGCCTAAGCACGCGAAATATCATGTGATTAGTGAACTTTAATCGCTATTAATTTAAAAATTATTATAGCCTCGATATTTCCAAATTAGAATTTTCGTCTTAAAATATTCCAAAGAATCCGCTCTTAAAAGGAAATTCAATGGTTTTGGGACATCTATACAGTATGTAGAAAGATGTTAAATTTTTTGAAAATAAGGATGATTGATAATGTGGTATATAGTATTTTTTTAGTGACAAATACATTATATTTTAGATTTTCCCAAAATTACTTGATGTACATCTCATAGAATTCTATTGATACATAATATAAAATATTAGATAAAAATATTATATATTTCTCTATATCTTTGATATATCTTATTGAATTTAATGTTATATACGTAAAATATGTTAAAAGTCATTCAGAATATTATCTAAATACGAGAAACGCCATTTGACGGATAAAGTTAGATGTTGAATTAATGTAGAGGAGAGTGGTCTAAATCGGACCGTGTTCTAAATAAGACCTTTTTAATTTAAATGAATACGGTTAAGCAGATTTGCGTACTATTTATAACGTAAAGTCCTTATAAGACACCGAACATGTGATAGCAGTTTGACAGTTCTCTGTCATAACATTCATAAAATAGAGGCAAATATGTA